TGTGGTGGTTTTTTTTTGTGTCTGTGACCTAGGTGGGCTTCTGTGACTCACTCTGAAATAGAGTCGTGACATGTAAAAGTTATTATTTTTCCCAATCTGTGACCTAGGTGAGTGTCTGTGACCTCGGAATTGTGACTGTGACTCACTGAAATAGAGTTTTGAACGTAAAATTTTTGATTTTTTCAACCTGTGACCTGTAAAATATAACCTGTGACCTATAATTTCGAACCTTGTGACCTTAAAAAATAACCTGTGACCTATAATTTTTTATCAGTTTTGATCTGTGACTTCGAAATTATCCGTGACCAAATTGTATATAAATGTGACCTTAACAGTTGCCGGAATCGGAGCGGTCGCCGGAAATAAGTACGGTCGGAAAACAGTTGTCGGAATAGTCGCCGATCGCCGGAGTAGTCGCCGGAGTAGTCGCCGGAGCAATGGGGCGTGGTGGGATGGGGTGGGGTAGGGTGGATTATATTATATTACAGTTAAATATTTAATGTAATATAATAATTGTGAAATATAATTAATTAATTAAAAAAAATCTGATTTTTGAAAATTTAAACTTTGAAATCTGATTTTTAATTTCGGTAAAATAAATACCTGAACCATAAATTTTTCCCCTTAATAAATAATAACAAGGATAAATGTTGAAGATTAATCCTTTTGAGTGAAGGTCTTTGCTCTATAAATAAGTTCGCCCCCTTTTCCTCACTCCCTTTCTTCCCGAATCCCTTGCGCTGCGCACCGATATTTGGTCCAAATCCTGTGGAATTGTGAGAGTAATTGTGAGGTGCGATTATCTTGTTTTCGACTTTCTACATTTTTGCAAAATTCTTTCTAGGGTTTCGGCATCGTCTGTATTTTTCTGTATTTTTCTGCTTGTATTGATATTATTGAGGTCGTTCTCATATGCTTTCTACAGTGTATTGGTTTTGAAGATTTTTGATTCTCTGTTATCGATTAACCGAGGCGTGAAACCCCAACTTAATTGCTAGTTTTGTATGAATAGTGGCTATTTAATTTTTGACTCGATAAAAGGATTCATATTTGTTAGGGCTTTAATCCAAGTTAAGATTCTTCTATTTATGTTGGAATTAGAGAAAAGGAGCATGACTATTTCGTGTTTGTTTCAAAGAAATTGAAGGTGTTTTCATTATAATTATATTTTTATTCTCTTAATTTATTTAGCAGAATTTGTTTGGTCCTGGGATTAGTTAAAATAGTTGAGTTACGTAGCATCAGGGTGAATGGGCATGCAATTTTGTTTTTGAAGTTTGCTATAAAATCGTGAAAAACTAAATTGAATGACAATATAAACTACTTCTGGGCATGTCAAATAATATGTCAAGCAATGTGTCTTATACTGGAGAACTTTATAGTTTAACTACTTCTGTAGGACGATATAACTACAGTCTACGTGCCCAATATAAGCTGTAAGACTTATGGTTAGAATAACATGGCATGTTTATCTTCTATGAATAATCGTGTGAAACATTGTTTCTCGTTTGCTCATTTGGTATGCTGGACTAGAAACTTGATGTCACGAGCTGGACTTCACCTTGCAACTTCAAGCTTTCAACAGATCAACTAGGGAATTCCTTAAGCTGAAATCAGCTGCAATTGTAACCAAATTAAAGAAAAATAGAATGGGGAGATCTGCTGTTGAATTGCTTAACAATTTTACTGGAGAATGACAATTACAGAACTGATTCCTCCTTCGCACATGGAGGTAGATATACTACCAGTAGAAGGCATGTTTTCCAAGTTGTTAAAATGTAAAAAAAGTTTCTAGCTATTACAATTATTTGAGCCAAAACGGTGTCGTGTTCCTCAAGGCCAAACGGTGTCGTCTTCAATTTGAATTCTGTTAATTCCGTTGGCAGCTTCTTCTTCTTCTGTTTGGTTCTGCCTCCTTTCTTCCCCACTGAACCTTTCATGACACTCAACAACATTAAGGAAGAAAAAGTAGTAAAAACCTTGTCTGTTGTGAATTATAGTACGATCAAATACTAGGAATCAACATTATTGCTGTATGTCTATCGATTAGTAATATTTCGAATGATTTATAGCTGACACAAGTTAATAACTGGTTTGTCAACACTACTGAAGGAGAATATTTCAATTGAGAGATGGGTAAGAGGAAGGCCAAGTCAAAGCCACCACCCAAGAAGAGAATGGACAAACTTGATACTGTTTTCAGCTGTCCCTTCTGCAACCATGGTACCAGTGTGGAATGCCGCATGTAAGTGTTCGGACTAGCTACTATATCCCTTAAATACGTATGACAATATGGGATAATGCAAAGATAATTTATTATTTTTCATTCTGAATATTAGCACCATTATTTCTGGATCACAAAATAATTTGGTTTGATTATGAAATAAAATCCTGTCAAGTGATGTCACGTGTTAAATAAAATCAAGGAGATATCCATTTTTTAGCTTGCCAATCTCTAGTTTTTTTGGTGAATAAGGGATGAAAGAATGAGACAGAAGAAGACCTGGAAGGATGGAATAACCGAATAAGTATATTTGGGAAGAGGATGTAATATGTTTATCTTGTTGCTTGTTTTTGTGCAATGAATGCAAGAGATGACGGGAAGTGATCTATATTTATGAGCTTTCGTTTTAGGTCCTTTTATCTTGCTTCTCCAGTAATTTTTTGTTGTAAAATGCCAATTTCTTCTGTTTCAGTGATATGAAAAACTTGATTGGCGAGGCTTCATGCAGGATCTGCCAAGAGAGCTTTAGCACCACTGTGACAGGTGCTTACCTTTCAATATTCTGTTTGACTGAGTTATCACTGTTAGCTAACTTTTAGAACTCTATGTTTGGATCATGCCAAAATGGCTTATGATGATTGATGAGAGGATATATCGTGCGTCATTGTTAAATAAATAAATGGAGATCAGGTTAGGAGTATGAAAGACAGAAACTTGCAGTAGGCCACATTTGTTTTTCTTGGATGTCATACAAATAAGCATAAACCAGTTAACGACACTTCTGCGATTGTAGCCTTTACTACTCTGGATGTTGAATTATGAATATAGCTAGCTCAAAACGCAGAAATTGTGTAGAGTTGAGGGCATTATGAAAGGTAATAGGTGTAGTTCAGGGAACTTTGCTAATAATGAACTTGCAGAAAGAGAAAGATATAAAACTTGGGGTGGGGCGATTGATGGGCTAATTAGATCTTTGAACTCATGTTGATTTTATTTACATCCGTTAATTCATTGGATCTTGCTATATGTACATAAAGATTTACATAAGAGATTACATAATGCCACACGGCCTCTTCTATTTGTCTGTTTAAAATACTGCCAACTTTTTCATTCAATCTTTCCCTCCACATCATTTTATGTTATCCTTTATGTACCATTTTTATGTACAAGTAGCACGATCCTAATTCATTTCATGTTTTAATTGCCATATCCTTTTCCGCTCTCTGGTCTGAACTTACGTTATAATTTAAATTGGTTGCAGCTTTGACCGAGCCTATAGACATGTAAGTCAGAGATGGTGCATCTACGTAAATATGTACCAAACTGTTACTATTATTTTTATTTTTTTTTTCTCGTGCTAAAATTCGTTCTTACAGATATAGCGAATGGATAGATGAGTGTGAACGTGTCAATAACAATGAAGAAGATGTCGAATAGAGGGGATTTGGAGAAGTTCCATCTTGGCATGCCGTCCAAGCCTGCGTTATAATATCTTCTCAAGACATCGTGTTTATGTTAGTAAAACTATTACGCGGTTATGTATGCAGTGATGTTTCAGAGTATAAGACAAGAATATGTATGCAACAACTTCGTCTGTAACTATCTTGTGTTGGAAAAAACTGGTTGTACAACGTCGGGTTATAACATTTGTTTACAACATGACTTGGAGATTAAATGGGCATGGACGGCTGAGATGAAAAGAAGAAAATGAAGAGAACAGGGCATTAAAACTCCATTTCTCTCTCTCTCACTTCTCCCCATTTCCCCCAAAATCAACAAGAAAACCTCATCTCCTTCACTCTTTTGCCCATCTTCCTCCGAAACTTTACTCACCTCCGATCGACACCTCCGGCCGTGGCATCCTATAAACTACGACACCTCTGAGGCTTTTATCACATTCTCCGAAGTTGTAAATCTCCTGCTTTGACGTTAGTTTTAACTTTTAATTTGGAGGTTTTCGGATTTTTGATAGTAAGCATAGTGGGTATAATTTTTCACAACACAATTTTAACATTACCCTCTTTGCTCTTAGTTATACATGGAATTGTAATATGGTTAGATATCATATGCCCTCATGTTTCAGATCTTGTAGATAACTAAGTGGGAATAAAGATGTGGAATTTAATTAACATGATTTATTGTTATTTGACGGTGAGCAATTTTCCTGTGTGTGAGTCATACTTAGAGATGTAATAAGAAGAAAAAAAATGCTGTGATTTTTCTGAAATTGAAGCATTACGTTGACCTGCATGTTTCTGGTCGTCATCTTCATACCAAAGAAGTTACAAGTTTTTGTGTGAAATTGTCAAATGAGATGCTGATTTTGGCAGCTACTTTGTTAATGTCTCAACATTAAGTGCATTTGATTTTACCTTTAAATGATGGGCTTTGAAATTGTTGAAGCACAAGTCGAGCACACTTAGCTTATTGCATCACCAGTCAGTTTGAGAAGTGAGAGAAGAGAGAGAGAGAGAGAGATGGAGTTTGGGCGTTGGAGGAAATGGGGAGAAGTGAAAGAGAGAGATGGAGTTTCAGTTTTTAAAATTTTGTTTTATTGTTTTTGTTAAATATAACCACATCAGTTTGTAATCCAATGTTGTCAATGACTGTTGTACTCATAGCACTGTCCTTGTTATTGGATAAAGAACGAATAAGGAAAAATAGCTAAAATTTAGCTCCTTGTCGAGTAAATGCGCTGTAAATGCTGAAATATGTATTATGCCGTACATTGGTACGATATCATTCCGTTAAATTAATGTTCGATAGTTAGTCAATCAACTATCCATGGACATGGTCTATATATGAAATAGAATTGATAATTAGGACTTAAAAAATAAAAAAAGAGTAATGTCAACTATCTTTAGTCGTCTTACGTGATATTTTGATGATTAACTTGTTATTTGAGGTAATAAGATTATAGAAAACTAATGTCTTAAATAAGAAATAGTCACGTAGGGCGGTTATTGTTAGTGAGCGACTTTGAATAGCATTATTCGAAAAAATAAAAAGAACCTACACTTTCTATAAATGGAATAGAATATTTAATTGGTTCTCCAAAAAAATAAAAATAAAAAATAGTAAGGGCATATTTGACATCAATGACATGGTTTTTATTTTTCCTTCTTATGAAAGAGGAAGGGCTCGTTTGGTATGATTTTATCTTTGCTTTCTGTACGTAAAAGATGAAACACTTTTATAAAATTAGTCAAATGGATCCAAAAGCTGATTTTGGATATCAAAAGTTCATTTTGACTTTTCAAAAGGCATGCCAAAAGGGCATGAAATTACGTTAGATCAACTTCACCTAAAAAATACTTTAATATAAATATATAATTATACAAATATGTTTATAAGTAATTTTTCGATTTTTCAAAAATTTTGTCAAAAGGCCCTCAATATTAAAAACGTGCGGGGTCCTTTTACCGTTCCTCAATGTACACAGAATCGTTTGACGACTTCAATTTCGCTCGATGGACAAGCAGATGCATTAAGAAAGCGATTTTACTTCAAAAGCAACGATTTCCCTTCGGCTTCTCCAGCTCCTCCTATTTATCTGATTTCGTGAAAAATAATTGGTCGCTTTGCCGCAGTAACTGATGGGACGACCGGCGAGCAACGGGGCCCCCACCTTCCGGTTTAACCAGGCCGAGGTTATATGCAAAATTCTTCTCTCTCCAGACAGAAACCCACACGAATATTGCAAGTGAATTTTCTAGTTAATGTTGAAATATTATTTTCTGAGGAACTGATTTTGTTTGTCTCAATTTTTTGATATGCTTTACGTTTCTTATATCTTGGTTCTCCCATAATTTTAGCATCTGTGTTATATAAATTTTCCTCTTCGATTGCATTTTTTGTTTCTCTGGAAGGTTGGGGACCCAAATTCATAAAAAAAAAAATGGTTTGGTGCTTTTACTCGTTTATGCGAAATTGGGGATTTCTGGTGCCAGTTTCTAGAGAGTAAAACTGTTGCTTGTATTCTTAACCAAAACTGGTATTTTGGTTAAGATGTACACTTGGAGCAATTCATAAAGAATGTGAACTGGTTGTTTAGCAGAGCAAATGGACTGTATGAAGAAATTATTTATTTATTTATTTTTTGGTGGTTTTCTTGAAGTCGTCTTGTCAGTAGATAGATGCATAAACATGCATTGAGTGCATATGTTATTAAGTGCATGTTGGGAGTGCTTATAAGGAGCGTTGAAGCACTCCAAAACATGCTCGAAGTCTTGGGGTTCTTAGCCCAATCCCTTACAAGTTGATTATTGTTTTCATGTTTAAGCTACAGGGATTTTTACCCTCAACATATTCACAATGATCGTGTGAAAACATTAATCTTGATTCTTGAAATCTGATGGCTTGTATGAGCTTTTGAGATGCATAGAATTGCTTGTTGGAGCTTATTTTACTGCTATCAAGTAATGAGTTTGCAACTTAAAAGATCAAGCTCGCAAAGATGGGTGGCAACCATGTTGACCATCTTCTCTTAAGTTAATTTTTTTAAAATGAGATGGTTAACATGATGTTGAGCCAGGCGAGAGGGTTCTAATCTGTGCAAGTGTTAGATCTTTCGTCAAATATACATTTGGTCTGCACGTCAGAGTGGCTTGATGAATACAAGATTAAATGGATACATGAGGCCCTTTCTAACAAGTTAAGCTTTTAAATGAGTTGGTTAACATAGGTATCTCTTGTTGTGTGCAAAGATTTTTTTCCCTTAGCAAGAATAAATGCCATCCCATGCTTCTCACCTATATGTCTAGTTTTGCTATTTCATTTTATTCGAAAAGCGCAAATACTTTTAAGCACTTTCAAATGGTTTCAGCTAAGTTAATGCAAAAGCCATGCAGTAACTATAAGATAGGAGACAGATTTATTAAACTGAATTTAGCCAGTTTCTTTTTGTCATCATTCCAAAAGCCCTCTTATGGATTTTTCTTGAGAAATAATCATTGTGAATTAGTGTGAAATTTTCTTGAACGCTATAATGTTTCATTTCTTCTGGGAAATTATTATATTGAATTTCAGTATGTTATAGCCTCCTGTTGTTTGGTTAAAATCACAATTTATTGTATATTAAACACATCGTGTTCATGTTAAAGAGACCGCATTCATGTTGAAGACACCCATCCATGCATTAACACATTGTGTGTTGTCATGTTTTCTGACCTTTTGGACATGCATTTCAGAACTAGGCTCTGTAGCATTTGTAGCAAGAAACTAACAAGTTATTACACTCATGTTCTACAAACATTGAGCATCTCCACTATTAAAAAGTTCTCACAATCTTGTATTTGACACATATTGGATTGTCACTGATGAAAAAGGTGCCATTGAATTTGTGCATCTACTCATGTAATTTAACTGTGTAGTTTTTATTTGATTTCTATGGAATTATTTTTGCTGTAACACTTTGCATCAATATAGTGCTTACCATTGTTTTGTGGCATGGTAAGGCACTTAGTTCCTTTTCCCATGACATGGTTATTATTTCACATTAAAGGTTAGCGAGATGGAAGCTATACTTCAAGCGCACAACTGTGCTGTGCCTGCACGTGAAATTCTTGAAGCTCTTGCTCAGAAGTTTAGGTATGGCGGTGATATGCTGTGGCTAATAATTTAAATACTTGGAATCCTTATAAATATCTGCTGTGGTGTAATTTCTGTTGATATAGTGCTTCAGCTGAAAGATCCGGAGTGGTTGAAGTTACGGTGAAACAAGTAAAGGACTTCCCTTTATGCACATGCTTAATTTTTTTTTTTATTGATCTTTCTGTAACTTAATTATTTGCAAAAGGTGTGGAATTGGTTCCAAAATAGGCGATATGCTATTAGAGCAAAAGCCTCGAAGACTATTGTTCCTCCACAGACAAACATGCCTGCCATGCCTCGAGATGATCCAACTACAGTTAGAACCGCAACTCAGACCCCTCAAACTCAGCCTGCTCCTTCAGGCAGTATTGAATTATCTTATGTTAAAAAGCTTCAATATCAATTTTTACTGTCATCAACATATAGCAAGCTTTTCAAGGTATTTTACTGCTTGTATTTTTGTTCTAATTTCTATCATAATTTCATCCAGCTTCAGTGAAAAATATGCCTCAAGTACCCCATCCTATTACCGCTCCTTCAGGTAGATATTAAGCAGTTGACGATGAATTTTTTATTTTTGTTTCTTCTTAACATCTTAATATGAAAAAGAAGTTCTTTTATGTGGTCATTAGTGCTTTTTTATCTTTGGTGAATCAAGTGCATATCTCCCCTGATATTATATTTTGTTATTTTTTTCCTATACTTTTTTTTGCATTAGTATGACATGGACTTGGTGGGAAAAAATTAATGGCAGCGACCGATCTTGACTGGGCTTTGGTCGAGTTCTTGGTTCCTAGCATAAAATAAAGTTCTGACCGGTTTTCTACTTTATAAAAAGCTTTATGAATGTTTAGTCATTTTAATTATGTGGATGAGAATTGAGGTAAAAGTTTCAATTTACATTTGTTGGATGAATGATGATGTTTGTTGTTTAGTGCTTTTCCTGGCTTTTGATATTTTATGCGTTTCCTGCTCTTTGTAGTTTTATCACTAGTGCATTACCCGTTGTTTCCATAGTTACTGTTGGAACCTCTTCATCTGCCGATTCAGAAGTTACCAATTATTTATTTGTGATCATAATTTGTAACTGGGTATTGGGTTTGAAGCAACTTGTGGGTTTGAGCACCTGTTTTTGGTACAATGAATAAATGTAGACATGTTTTTCATGATGGGTGATATTTTATTGACGGTTACAAAAGAAGCCTCAGTCTCCTCTTCTCTCTGTCATCTATCATATTAATTTTGCCCTCAATGAGAAATGGTCATTAACAGTAGGAGAGAAGAAGAGAAGGTTTTGGATTTTTGGTCCTTCACTTTTGCAATTGTGCTTGCTATTAAAAGGAGATTATTAAATCACCTTTATTTGTGATTATGACTTCAAGAGATATTACTTCAAATCTCTATTTTGTGTGATGTGTCTTGTTAGACTTTATCTAGAACACATCGAAATAAAACACAAATTCGTAGAGATTGAAACTGCAATTTAAAGATTATTTCTTGAAGACAATGAAATTGCACGTGCTTTACAAATTGCGAAAGCTTTGGTGGATCGATCACGAATAATATACATTTGTACACACCTTGGCTATATCTTACCTTACACTCTCCAAATGGTTATGATGACTCTTGATAGGACAAACCAAAAGTGTCTAGGGTTTTCTTTGGGAAAAGAAGATACCTAGCCGTAACTTGATTCCACCCATCATTGGAGAGCTAACGACCTACACTTATTCATCGGGTCAAGAACATTCAAACCCTAAATGTCCACTAAACCCCGATCATCTAGTTGTCATTACAATAACCAATTAGGCTTCCATACATAGTTTAAGTTGCATTCCAACTTTATTGCTGAAGTCATAGTCAATCTATATTAGCACAACATCGGAAAATTCCAACATTGTCTCACTTTTTACAATATCGAATAATAGTTTTAAATTTTTAAAAGAGATTCGAAATGACTCTCAAGTGTAGAATTTTAATTTTATGATGTTGTGTTAACATTGATTGGGCTTTTTTTATTAAGCCCCTGTTTGTTCTACATCATTTTCCCATTTGTATAAATATTATGACCGTTGCACAGTAAAGCAGCCGACATTTTTGACCTCCTTTGTGTGATGATGGGGCCCAACTGTTTGAAAAAAAGGGTCAAAAAATTTCTAAGAATGGGAAAAAATTGTAGAATAAATAGGGGCTAAAAATATAGTTGAACAGTAGCTTATAGCGTAACTACGCCTAGAAACCAATTGGTTATTGTGGATCTGTGATGATAATGGGATGATTGAGCTCTTTGCACCTTGTGGGTTTGGGCCACGTTCTTGATATGATGAATAAGTGTAGATCCATTAGGTTTTAATGATGGATAGAATTTGTATATTTGTAGGTTATGGCCAGGTCCCTTCTCCTCTTCAAGAGAATTTTAGACACTTTTGACTTGCCCCATATCGAGGGCCGTTGCTATCGTTTGGAGAGTGTTATGGAAGATCTAACCTAGATGTGTGCATATCATTTGTTATCAATCCAGCAAAGCTTTTGGAATTCATATCTTAAGTGCGTTACCGGCTTCATCTAATAAGATCACATTAACAATTAAAACTTTTTTGGTTAATGCATTAATTCTTAAACTTTGATTCAGAACAAATGAAATAAGGCAACATACTAAATATATCAAATTTGAAATGGGTAGTTAAATGAAGATTCACACTGTCAACAACTCAACATATCATATTCAAAATTTGACTATGTAGGAACATGCTAATTTGACAAAGAACGAGAAAAGAAAGGGAAAGGAGGATCAAAGAAGATAATCGAGGGAAAGAGAAGTAGTTTTATTCATATAATTCAAGTGTTAACGATAAATATTGTCATAAATCCATTTATATAAAGAAAGGACTCTAGAACTAAATAAACTTCCTATCTAAACGAATTTGATATAAAAGATAACATTGTTAATATCAAATTCCTATCAAGTAAAACTAATATAATCTAGATAAATCAAATTCTAGTTATTCTTAGTCTTTCGCCCTGAGTATACTTTTAGCTGCTGCAATGTTGTATCATTTGAAAGTCTAGATTCAAAAATATTAATAAAACTGGACCATAACTGATCGGTTCTGGTCAGGTTCTTATTTTGCTCAGAGAACCATTGGTTCCAAGTGCACAATTTCCAATTGGATCCAGTTAGTGTCCACCTCTACTTGCACTTAGTGTTGAGTGAATAAGTATCCAAATGTTCGATTCATTCCCAAAATCGAAGACCCCGAAAGATTCACTCTTCTTTTCGTCCTTTACTTTTCATGTTGCTAGAATTTAGTGAATTGTGGTATTTCAAAATTTGCGTATTTTATTCATTATTCCATGGAAAGTATATATTTAGATAGGCGTTCTTGGGTTATTTTTATTTCAAAGTTTGACTGGGCTTTCACACTTGGCACATTTGCCACTCTCTGTTTATTGGAGGTCATAAGAAATTTTGCCTCATATTGTAGAGGATGATGAGTGTCATACATCTTGTTTTAACTTTTTAAGGTATTTGAAGCAATGAAATTACACGAATGTACTTCTTGCTTTAGTCAACACCTTCTCAATTTAGCTTGAAAGATACGTCGTCAATTACCATGTATTCCTTCAAAAGTTCCACTAGAAAAGTGTTTTAATTTATTAAATACATATCAGAATTCAGGATGAAAACAAAGGGTTCGCAAAAAAACTTAGGTGTCAACCTGCCTGCAAGTGGTTTCAAGTTCTATTCTCAGGCAGAAGGTTTTTGGAAGGGGAGGCACGCATCGTTTTATGTATACAGTTTTTTAACCTCCTGCCTGCAAGGAAAAGAGTAGAACTAGAAGTTTATGACTTGTAAACTTATTGCAATCCATGATGCACTGCATGAAAATTTTAGATGCTATTGGCAGAATATTTTTATTCTATGTTTGAGATGACATTTGGACTTCGATATATTTCTTTTCTTTTCTCTTCTCCTTGTTCACATTCTCTTCTTCTAATTTATTTATTTCCAAGAAATCAAATACGCCCAGGTTTTTGCAAAGAAAAACCCAGGATATTTTTGAAGTTTAAATTTTGTCATCACAAGGATTGTTAGCTTTGCTGATATCTTTTTGTGGCACAAGAGTACGAAAAGTAGTTGTATTAGCCCGTGTGCTTGGACTATGATGCACCGTGTTCGACACGATACTTGTCGGATACGTCAGCACGCGATTTTTCAAAAAAACACTAACACGACACGTCTCTAACACGTCAATTAAGTTATTTAAAAATTTTCATTTATCTGGTATAAATTTAGTTTTATATTTGATATTAATTTTTCTTGTTGAAATCTTTTAAATATGAATACATAATTGATATTTACTAATAGCTTTGGGAAAAA